AGCTGTACCTGAGACGACTGATGCATCCAGTGACGTTTGACTCAGGTCGATTGACATCTCACCTGCTGCGTCCTCTCAGGGACGGGGTGAATAGCTTCCTGTAGCGATGTGGGTTTTATAGCCCACAGCCTAAGATGGCCGTACCACAATGGTGGTATGTCGTGCATAGCTGCGCATGGGACAAGCACTTGTTCTGCGAACTCACGGTCGAAGTCTCTCTCTCTCTCTCTCTGTCTCTGTCTCTCTGTCTCTCTGTCTCTCTCTTTCTCGCGCTACGTCTACGCATATGGTGGTGTTCTTGGTTCGCTGCTCGTGGTGGCTGTCGTACCGATAAGGCTCTCCAACTCCTTCATGCTCTTGCTCTCAGCCCCTCCCAAGGCAGCCAAGCAAGCATCCATAGAAACGCAAATTTACCACCAATGGACATTTTCCAAAAATCACTCGAAAATGCAGCTCTAAATTCAACAGGAAAGCAAGCAACAAATGAATAGAACGATGTGATCTGCACTAGTGTTTTCAATTGATTTAGTTTTGGTTATTTAAAAACCAGCACTTTAGATTGTTGTTGCACCAAAGTCAAGACTTGGGTGGACAAACATCACAGTTGGATGGTCTGGGGTGTCCAGCGTTGCAGCCACTTAAACATTTCATTGAACTTCATGTGAATATGAGGCTGGTGGGGCCGGGCCGGCTGGGCCACAAGCGGAGGAACCGCAGATGAAGGTGTGGGTTTGCCAGCCCCAGTCTCTGCCCCCACATGCCCACCGGCCCCGGGGGCCGAGAAAATCATGCAACACCACCGCAACAATCGATTGTGCTTGCACTGCTCGACAACTCTTGAATATACACTGAACGTCTGTCCCCAATTCAAAAATTAAAGCGCGGGTCCATTTTTTCTCATGTTGTTTTGGCAGGAGAAGCACGGATTCAACAAGATGACTGCGCCTCGCTAAGAAGACCTCGTGATCTAACAAGCCTCCTACTTTATTAATGACGCAAGTCCAGGTCAAGCTGTTCATTACGGATCTCATCAAAAGCGAGCTTTTGCCTGAACCTGAGACATGCCGAGCCAGACATTTGCATCGTGCACTCGAGGCAAGATTGCAGTTTTGGTGGGCATGCATTCCGGTACCAAGGACATACGTTTTCGGTGGCTTGCTGGTGCCATGCTCCCAGGGCAAGTCATTGCACACTTGGGCAGCACAAGGAGCGTGAAGCTGTTTTGCGAGGCCCATGCTCATTTGGATTGTTCGCTATTTCGGCGCAGGCCGCGGCCGCATCGCGGGCCGAGTCAAAGGGATAAGGGATAAGTGCCGCAGATATGCGCAGAGCGAGCACAAGCGGAGGCTTTTATCTGTACCTGTGGGCATTCGTCCAGATGCTCATGACAAGTCCTCGGCGAGTCGTTTGCGAAGAAGACAGCTTTCTTTTCTTCTCCTGTTACTTGCTGCTCGAGGTTTGCTTTTATGTGGATGTATCCAAACGTGATTCAGCCGCTTTTCAATGAGTTCAGACCATTGCAGGCAAGGAAACTTTCCGTATCTAGAAGTGCCGCTTGCAGTGGGTCACAGGATGAGTCGCTCAAGGAGAAGATCGAGGCATTGGCTGCAGAGGCAATGGCATGTGACGTCACTGGAGCCGGGGGAAGCGCCTGAGGGCTATCCTCGGAAGCTGGAGAGCAGCAGAGGGAATCGAGCAGGGGTGAGCAGGTGCAGTTCCCTTTGACGAAGCTCTTTGAAGTTGACGGCTCCAAGAGGCCTGCCTTTCCAACTCAGTCAGGTGGCTTGCATTGCAAGGGTACCGTCGTCTGCAGGTCTGGCCACAGCAATGCATATTTCTTTGGATTTTGGAAGTGCCCCGTTGGATCTGGCGCCGGCTTGTGAGGAGATTTGAACTACGCTGACCTGAGAAGTTCCAAAGCTTTCTACTTTATGGCTACATGTCGAGTTCTTGCGGACATGGGCTGCAGTGTTTGCCAAAACTGTTCACATTCACGTGGTTTATGCAAAGTTAAGGAATGTTTAGGACCTGCAGGCAGACTATTCAATCCAGCACTGTAATGTCTTCAACAGCAGGTACAAACGCATTGTTCTGTACGACACCTTGCGCTGGCCTTGCATGCCGTTCATGTACTGGTATTGCACAGTCGCATCCCATGCAAGTCTCGGAGACGGCAGTTTGTTCAGGCTGCATTTGAAGCACGACGACATTTTGGCTATACTTTGTCATGAGCTAGGCGGGCAAGCTGTGTGGGATATCTCACAACGCTACTTGAGCAAGCAGGTCACTGGAAGTTCGGCCACACGCTAACCAACCTGGTGATAGCATCGGCCGATTCCTCAAAGGCACACCGTAGTTCAGCAAGTCCGATGAGCACGGCCATCAGATTGCACGACTTTCGCAATACCAGTCTGCAGTGAGTGACCAGGTGCGGTGAATTACTTTTGCGTTTAGAGAACTGGACTTCGTTTGCCTGTTCTGGCCTCGGCCTGGGCCACATGGACACTTTCCCTTGTCCATGGATTGACAAGGGACTGCTGGGGAAGACCGTGAGACGCGAGCCTGTGAGACCCCGGATCTCGCATGTCGCGTTCTTGTACACTGGCACATAGGATCTGTCACGAAAGTGTCGAGCCCAAAGATCCGCGAGGGCTTCTCCTGGAGTCTCAACTTCAGCAAGGCTTGCAATGGCCGTGTGCACGCTTCAGAGAAACCTGTGTACACGGTCTGTCCGAGGAGTCTACAAAAGTATGGACCACACACCACTCTCCGATGCTCATGTTGCCACCCTGAAAAGAGTCAAATGTTGCTCGAGACGACATCGGACTCGGCATCCAAGCATCTAGCGACACATTCTGGAGAAGCTTTGAGAGGCACAGGGACAGGAAGTATGAAGAGATCCCATTGAGTGGGCCAGAATCCAGCCCCGGAGCAGCCATGACGTAGGTCACGAACTCCTTTTATAGTCCACACACCGGTCGTCTTCTCAGAGTCTGTTTCGGCCCGCCCCGGCCGCACCTCGCCGATGTGTTGAAGCTTAAGCGGCGTGGTGAAGCCGTCGATCGAGGTAAACACGTCGGGCCACGAAAATTCCAGAACACAGTCTCAATAGCCTTCACAGCCCTCGGAGCTGCGACGCCTGGCATCTGAGGGCCCAGCCCAAACATTTGAGATGTCATGACCAGAAATGCCCGGTTCGTAGCTGAGCCTGGTCGCCCCTTCAGGAGTGTCAATGCAGCTGCTGTTTGGGATTTCGTAAACGCCACCGAAGATATAGAGCTTGACCAGCCGCAATACCGCATCCGTATGAGTTATATCAAATTATATCACTGGAGCTGGACGGCTAAGCTACAAGGGTTCGGTGGCTCCTCTTTACTGTGCCCTTCTACAACAGAGGGCCACGCGCTTGTCTATCACGAAATGAAAGCCTAGCGCAGTTTTGCAAAGAGATGTCATTGGGGCTGAAGCATTGCGAGCTCATGCACAACTTGAGGCACACATTTTCGTGCTCTTCTGGCTTTTCGATTTGGTGATGTACTCAGAGGCACGTAAGACCGTAGTTTTGTCAAGTGCAAGCATGCTTAAGACGACATGGCTGGGAGGTATCAAAGCAGATGACCAAGCAGTTCGGGTATGGTGATGCGAACGCGGTCATGGCATACGCCTGAAGCCACTATAGAGAGAGAGAGAGAGAGACAGACAACAACAAACACAGGCCTGTTGTTCTCAGGTGTCGCTCATGCTGTTCATGCTGTGCATCCGGCATGTCAGCGAAGGAAGAATAGCATCCAGTCTGCAGCACTTTATGTTGCACACGTGGCAGGCTCGTAAGCCCGACTGAACAGTTGATGAATCTGCTCATGACCATGCGCAGACCTGAGCTTCGTTTCTTGAAGCTTTGCTTTACGATCTTGGAAGACCCGAGCAGGCGAAGTCGCCTCAACGAGTTCCAGGTCTTGTTTTCCGTTCTTTGGCTCTGCGGATGCCGCGCAGCACTGCACAGATGCGCTCCAGGCAGACAGTTTTGCTGCAAAAATGGGCAGATCAGATGCCTTGCAGTTGGGACTCAGTCAGCGCTGCATGTGTCGTGTCTGATGTATGCCCCCGCCGCGCCTTTCCGCCTCAGGAGTGGTTTGTTCCAGATACACGAGGAGAACAAGGCAAGTTGCACATTGATAGACAAGGAGGTGACTCTAAAGTCTGCGTCGACCTGTGGACAGGGCGACTTGAACCCCGATCCTCTTTACTCTTGGTACCATTTCTCGCACCCACCGCTGGTCCGGCCTCCCAGATGCTTTACTTTCTTCACTGTCTAGCAATTCTGGCATCGATATTGATCTAGACCATTTGCATGACAAGGTGGAACGGGTTCGTGCATTGAAAATCTTGGACGCTGACGCCTCCAAGAAGACCACATGAACTAGCAACCATTTGGAAAAGAAGAATCACACAAAGAACGAAATTACCTTTTTGGGATTCTAATATCCGACACGATTCTAAAAATCACATATTTACACAATTGCTAGATAAATCGAAACTTATATAATTCATTAATTTTTCATTCTTTATATTCTTGTTTTTCTCGAAGTTATTCAATACGATAAGATACGATTTTATATTTTTGGCTTCGATTTAATTAATTACAAGGTGCTGGTCCTACGTCGTTGCGCGCCGCCAAAAGTCGTAATAATCCCGCGTCAGCTTGCGGCAACGTACTACCAGCCTGTATAACCCAGCACTGCGATAATATTTTACATGTTTGTTTGTATAATATCACACTGAGGTTTCGTATTTTCGTGCTAACCGATCGTTCTATTGGGAATCGAGGGTTTATATGGGGACATTGATATAATTGTATATATCTTAAAGGGATATTTGTGGTATCGAATATCTATATGGAGACTGGCTAGATTTGATATGGTATATTTCTACTGATACGCGTCTTTAATGGTCATTTGTGGAATCGAGTGTCTAGATGAAGAATGGTTGATAATGATCTAATATATTGCCAATGATGGTAATCGAATATTTAGATTGGGAATGACTTGGTTGATATGATATATCGCTATTGAGGAAATTCCTTTAATATAAGACCATTTATCTCTTATAATTAGTATCTAATATATATTAGCGACTCTTATATATTTCTGAATATGAAGTGATAAAAAAATCTTCTTATGGCTATTCTATTTTTAAAATGATTTCTATTAACTTGATGGGCTCCGAGTATCTTAGCCCATTATTCGGTAGAAAATTTCTTGTACATGTGTGTAAATTATATTGAATGGCGGGCGCGATTATATAAGAAGAAGAATAAATATTATGACTTTAAATTTGCATTGAATATGAGGTATCGATCGAGTGTCTATATGAGGGAATGGAGTGACTGGACTTTCATTAGATGTCGTGATGCCACTAATATTTGTCTCTCGTGGGCGCTTCTAAAATGATGCGTCTATATGGGGAATGGCTGGCATGGACATATTATGATGCCTTTGATGGGTGCTTGTGAGTCGAGTGTTTGCATGGAGATTGGCTGATTTTTATATATTATGATGCCACTGATGAGGCCAGATATCACGGGTATTTGGGATATGGATCTCGGATATAATCTGTGCATATTCTCAGTATAATCACATCATTTCTATCGAATCGAATAATTTTCCTTCTCCTGCGATACCATATCAAATCGCGTGTCTATATGGAGATTGGTTACTTGTGCTGTGACTTTTGGGCATA